TGTATAACAGAAACTAAGAAATACTTTTATTTTTCAAAATATTTGAACATTTTTTTGTTTATTTAGCAAAAAATAAAAAACCCAGTGGAGAATTAATACCACCAAAAGAACGTTCTGACTCAAAAAAATGATAAAAATTTTGTTTGAGTACAGTGTTGCATGACCACACAATTGTCATTCAAAGTGTGAGAGCACTGAAAGCTGAAAATCGGCCTGGGCAGGAAGGGGGTGAAAGTGCCCAGTATTTCAGTGGTTAAAGGAGTAAATGTTTTTGTGAATATGCAGGGGTACTCATTCACATAGGGGAAGGGACTAGCTTGAGCAGCACTGTTAAGGGCTAGAGGTCGTGCTGTCATTCCTTGTTTGTCTGGCAGCCCCTTATGTAAGTTTGCAAAGAGGCATTTGTATAACTGTTTTTATGGTAGATGTTTTTATTATTTATACCATTGAATACGATTAAAATGACTATACTATGGACATTTTTTTTTTTTATGGTGGATGACCGATGCAAATTGGCAAAATGGAGCAATCTTATCACCCGTGGAGAGAAGAAAGCCATGGGTAAACATACTTAAAAAAAAAAAAAAAAAAAAAAAAAAAAAAGTGTTTCAGGAAATTAAAATTCTGGTGCTGAAACTTCAGGATGGCCGAAAACCAAAACAGAAACGGACAGTTTTTAAAAGTTAATATATTTTTCAAATGCAATTTAAAAAAAAAAAACACTTTAATGATTAAAAAAAAAAACTTTAAAAGGGGTAGTATGATTGTGAGAGGCGATTTAAATTTTTGCATGGACCCAGAGATGGATGCCTCATCGTGCGCCCGGAGAGAGGGAGATAGGAGTCTAAATAATATTTTTAAAAAAATTACATCATTGCCAGCTGATGGACGCCTGGAGGGTTGAACACCCAAGGGAAAGAGACTATACCTTCTCTGCGGCGCTTATGATGTATGTAAGACTGGACTATATGTTGATTGAACATAGACTTCTGGAGTCTCTGGTGAAAACTAACATAGATGTAATATCTATATCGGACCATACCCCTGTCACAATGAGACTATGGTTTGGAAGGGAACAGAATAAAATAAATATGTTGTGATTATATGAGACCAATTTACAAGATGCAGAAGTGGAAAAAAAGAGTAAAGCAGGAAATAGATCAATATTTTAAGTTAAATTAATCCGAGGAGGTTTCTATCGCCACAGTATGGGAAGCACATATAGCCTATATTAGAGGTATACTAATTGCAATAGGGGTGGAAATAAAGAAAGATCGGGGAAAAAGAATCAGGGTATTAATGTAAGAACTACATCAACTGGAACAATTACATAAAAAGATAATATTAAAAAGAGAGGAGTTAAAGGATTATATGGAACAAGAAACAAGGAAGATATTTAATGGGGTTTCGAAAGAAAGATATCGGTGGGGGAATAAACCAGGGAAATATCTAATGAAGAAATTGAATCAAGGAACTTTATAGATAAAATTAAAAACGAAAAAGGTGAAATGGTTTATTCAACCATTGACATCGCCAATACATTCCAGAGATACTATAGCAGTCTATATGGAATAGAAGGGAAGAATCAGAAGGAATCAGAAGAAGAGAGGAGGGGGAAGAGGCAGATTTATTTGAAGGAGGCCAGTTTGCCTAGATTGGATTAAACTAGATTAACAGCTTTAGATAGTTTAATATCAATGGAAGAAGTCAATTTAGCACTAAAGAGTACAGCTGTAGGAAAGAGCCCCGGACCCGATGGATTCACCGTGGGAAATTATAAGAAGTTTAAAGAACATCTAGTCCCCATACTGTGTATTTATATGAATGCACTGGGAGAAGAGACAGAGATGAGGGAGGAATCACTGCAGGCATACAGTATATCACAGGGATACCCAGGGGAGGGGAAAGATTAGTCTCAGTGTGACATGCTATAGACCTATATTTATGTTGAATGCTGATACAAAGCTGTATGGGAAGGTACTAGCAACAAGGATGAAAGAGTTGATGTCTGACTGGATACACTTAGACCAAGTGGGATTTATCCAAGATAGAGAGGGAAAGGACAATGGCCTAAGAACATTACTGCAAAAGAATGAAGGAGGAGGGGTACCGGGAATAATTTTATTGGTTGATGCTGAAAATGCCTTCGATAGAGTAGATTGGGGATTTATGACTGACACGCTGAGAACATTAGGAATTGGACCTAGAATGATACGGTGGATAAAAGAGTTATATAGGAATCCCTCAGTCTCAGTGAAGGTAAACAGATCACTATCAAAATTTTTTAGGATATATAATGGAACCAGACAGGGATGTCCCCTATCCCCATTGCTGTTTGTGATTTCTTTGGAACTTCTATTAGCAACTGTTAGAAATAGTGCAGACATCAAAGGAATGTGGATAGGGGACATCTAACATAAAGTGGCAGCATATGCAGACGATATGTTGTTCTATATCGCAAACCCCAGACTAACATTACCAAATTTAATGAGAAAATTGAAAGAATACAGAGAGCTATCCAACCTAAAAATGAATCCCTGAAAAAGTGAGATTTTAAATATAAATGTCCCAAAGGCTGAGAAACAAATTATACAAAAAGAATTCATCTTCACATGGAGAGAAAAAGAACTAAAGTACTTGGGAATAAAATTAACATTGCCTATAAAAAAATCTATAACAGGTAAATTATATTCCATTATTAAATGAAATAAAGGATGAATTTAGGTAAGCATCCGTGGGAAGGCTGTCTTGGATAGGGTGGAATAAATATTATTAAGATGATTATAGTACCAAAAATTTTATACAAGTTTAATATGCTTCCAATATCTCTACCGGGGTCTTTTTTTAGGTTACTCAAAAAGTGATACTCAGATATATGTGGGATAACAAAAAACAAGAGTTAAATATGAAGTTTTATGCAGTAACAAATAAAGGAGGGATTAAATATGCCAGATTTTAAGAGATATTATAATTCGGTGTTACTATCATGAATTGTAGACTGGATATATAATGCACAGGGGAGAAGTTGGGTAAAAATGGAGAGTTCACTTAGTAAAGCACCATTAGATAAGTTTATTTGGATACCACAGGAATTCTGCACTTGGGATGAGGACACAAGCACATTGACATGGAATGTATTTAGGATTTGGGCTGAAATGAACAAGTAGAAGGATTGGAAGTTTAATGCATTGTCAATCCCGTTGGTAGGAACTAAGTTTTTCCCACCCGGGAATGATAATATTTCAGGGAAAAGGATAATTGATAGAAATGCACGTTTGAAAGATATTGTGGATAAGGGGGTTTTATGTTCTTTACAGGAATTGAAAAATTACAAAGAAATATTTTCCACATTGGATGAGTGGCGGTATTGTAAAAAAAGACATTTTGTTGCAAAGCTCCCACAACCACTAAGGACCGAGGAAGAAATGTATCCTTTGGAGCAATTGTGTAGTACAAATAGAATACAAAAACACATTATCTCTAGGATTTATAAAATCCTTACTGAAATAGAGGGACCAGCATCCCAAAAGTTTTTGGAAGTGGGAAATCGAGCTTGGAATAAAATTGGGAACGAGCAACAAAAAAATAAAATGTTTAGTTTAATACATGGGGTGGTTTATAAGAATATAGCTGAAATTAATTATAAATGTCTAATAAGATGGTATGTTACACCTAATGTGATGCATAAATTAAGGCCAGAGGTGTTGGAGGGAATGTGGGAGTAAGGCACAATGGCACATATCAATAAGCAATATAAAAATATGATACTGTTCCATTTTTTAAATTTGGCCATAAGCCTTGTTCCTAAATATTGGCAAACAACAGAGTCCCCAAAAATAAAAGATTGGATGGATAGAGTTGAGTATATATACAAGACGGAAGATTTATATCAGATAGAGGAGGATAAAGTGGAAAAATGTAAGAAAGCCTGGGAAGGATGGTATAAATTAAAAAAAACAAACAGATTTTTAGAAGCGGTTGGAGTGTAGTAGAAAAAGAAAATAAATAAGAGTTTGGGAATGATAGGAAAGAAAGGAGGGAAAAGAAAAAGGTAGGAGGGGAAATAGTAAGACAGAACAACAAATGAAGAACAAGAAGTAAATGGAAAGACCTAGAAGATAAGGGGCGGGGGGGGGGGGGGGGGGGGTGGAGGATGTAATTAAGTATGGATTTTTGTACTGCATGATGTTGTTTAAAGTAGTTTTGTATAATAAAAATTAATAAACATATAGTTAATAGAAAAATTGCGCACACCTATGGAATGGCGTCAAATTACAGTATTTACAAATCTCCATGGGTGATGATTTAAAAATTTCTACAAGTTACAAGTGTAAAGTTACAGAGGAGGTCTAGTGCTAGAATTATTGCTCTTGCTTGCTCTGCCGTTTGTGGCGATACCTCACGTGTGTGGTTTGAACACCATTTACATCTGTGGCTGTTGCCTACATATGTGTTCATCACTAGGCGCGAGCATAGGAGGACGGGGGCACTTTAAACTTTGTTTTAATTATTTAAATTTTTTTTACGCTGTGATTTTTAATCATTTTTATTCCTATCACAAGGAATGCATGCATCCCCTGTGATAGAAATGAGCAGTGGCAGATCCTCTTTATGGAGAGATATGGGGTCAATAAGACCCCACATCTCTCCTCTACAATGTAAAGCATTCAATCAAAAATGATCTAGTGCTTTAACCACTAGCCTACAGGACACTTATACCCCTTCCTGCCCAGGCCAATTTCCAGCTTTCAGCACTGTCACATTTTGAATGACAATTGCGCGGTCATGCAACACTGAACCCATATGAAATTTTTTGAATTTTTTTGTGACAGATAGAGCTTTATTTTGGTTGTATTTAATCACCTCTGGGTTTTTTTTATTTTTTCTTAAACAAACCAAAAACCACTGAAAATTTTGAAAAAAATGTCTTAGTTTTTGTTCTTCACTGATGTGCGCTAATGAGGCTGTAGTGATGGGCACTGATAGGTGGCACTGATGGGCACTGATGAGGAGGCACTGGTAGGTGGCACTGATGTGCATTGACAGGCATCACTGATGGGCACTGAAAGGCAGCACTGATATATGGCACTGATAGGTGGCACTGACTGGCACTGTTAGGCGGCACTGACTGGCAGCACTGATAGACATTGATAGGTGGCACTGATGGGTGACACTGAAAGGCAGCTCAGATGGGCACTGATATGTGGCATTAATGTGCACTGGTAGGCACTGATATGTGGCATTGATGTGGCACTGATGGACACTAGCAGGTGGCATGGATGAGCACTGATGGACATTGACAGGTGGCACTGCTGGGGATACACTGATCATCAGTGCCCTGATGATCAGTGTACATGTCCCCTCTGAGGGATGCCGATTACCGGCTCTCCTCTCCTCTTGAGCTGTCAGCGTGACAGCTCGTGAGGAGAGAAATGCTGATAACCGGCATTTTCCTGTTTACATGCGATCAGCTGTGATTGGACACAGCTGATCACATGACCGAGCCGACATCTTTGGCTCTTTCCGTGGATCGGTGATCTGCTGTGTCCGAGGGAGCTCCCGGAGCCGCGCATGTGTGGTGAGAATGGGAGGACGTCATATGACGTCCTCCCAGAACGAGAGAACCGCCTTGCGCCCGTCATTGGACTATATGGCGGGTGGGAGGCGGTTTTAAAAAAAAAAAAAAAAAAAAAGGCTTATTTACCTGAGCAATGCATGTGACTAGTTTCTCCATACAGGAGGCATCTTGAAGCTGTCAAAGGATTTTGTATGAAGTATTAAATACATTTCAATTAGCGTGTTCAGTACTTTTTCCCTGTGTCATTCCATTTTATTACACATAACATAATTTCTGAACGTATTTGTTTTGGTTTCTTTGTATGTATGGATGCATGGGTTGTTACCGACATGCGGTGAAAATTTAATGTCAATAGCACCTTTAGAAATATATTTATTGAGAAAAATGGTGACGTGTTTAACACTTATTGTGCCTGCTGTATCTACACTTATTGCACAGCAGCTGGTTATTTGATGTGGTTAGCGCTGACTGCACATATTTTTCCACTCAACGTTCCATGTCTGTCAGCCTGTGTTTGTTTTGTAAAAGTTGCTGGACACAGCTATACAAAAACATTTGTGACTCTCGGGTGCAGGAATATGCTGAATTCTGTGAGTGTACAACCCTCTACGCCTATGTGAATGAGACCATGGTAACGCAATATAGCGCATTACCACTTGCAGTACCTTACACACTGACAATTGGCTGGCCCATTATTGGCCATTCTAATCCAGCTGATCAGGGTTCAAATGACCCATATAGTGTTAGGGACAGAATGAGTTTTCTCTTATTGCAAATTGTTCACATTAACTTGCAGTCTTCTCCGGGCCTTTAGTTACACTTTAGGCTCCATGTACACTGCAGCTGATAAACTGACGTTTAGGAGCTATTCAGCATTTTTTCCAGCAGCCCCTGAACTCTCCCTAATATTTTCCTCTGTGTCCATGTACACATCATCGTTTACAGTTGTTTACAGGCAGTTGAGTTTACAGTCGTTTTTTTAAACGCACAAAACTTACGTTCAGGAGTAGATTTTATCAGCGTTCCAAACGCTTGTAAATGCGGCTAACCGCGTTTATAAGCGTTTGGAAAATTTTAACTCTTCCATTTCCAGATGCTGTCCAGAGCCTTTTTTTGATCATGAAAAATGCATGCAAAGCGTTTTCCTGGTACTCAAATGGACCCGGTACACCATAGTTTGAGGTTTCGCATGAAAGAAAATGATAGACATTGCTGCAATAATTTCTGCACAGCAAATGATCTGGAACACATCCAAACACTACAAAAAAAAAAAAAAAAAAAGACAGCTAATCTCAACATACTGCTCTCTCTGCTTCTGCTCTCTCTCTCTCAAAATGTCTGAAATAGTTAATTTTTTACTGTTTTTCAGTGCATTCTGGGCATTTTGGAAGGTCTCCTGAGGTTATCTTTAAAAAACGTTTCTAAATGCAAACGCTCATAAAAGCGGCTAAACAGACCTTTTTTTAACCTACGTTTTTCAGCAGTCAGTTTCCATAGTTCAGAAGTGTCCCATGTACATGAAGCCTTAAAGTGTTACTAAACCCACAACAGTAAAATCAGTCTGTACATGCAGGATTAAGGGTTTAATCCTCTGCTATGTGTAAAAAGGCTGCTTGATCCCTTCTTCTCTGCCTTGCTTCTTGTTGAAATGACCACCTGACACAGACTGAATCCATAGTCACATGCACATGCTCAGTTTGGTGTGTATTGTTAGAGAGGTGTTTTTTCTTCTTGGGAGAGTGCATGTGATCAGCACAGGGTCAATCAGCCCTGTCCAGAAAGAGGGGGGGGGGGGGTCCTGCATCTTCCTAGAGCAGAAAGAAAAACTCCTACTACAAGCTTTAACCAGTGCTCTGCTGAAGTCACAAGACTGCTCTAGCTGCTGATGAGAAAAGGTATTTATCAGTTTATATTTACTAAAAAAATTGCATTTCCATGTTGTGTGTACTGTGGGAGACCATACAGAGTGAATTCAGGGTTCAGTATCACTTTAAATTACACTCACCTGTCCACACTGCACAGTCACTGCTGCAAAATTCCAAATCATTCCTATAGGGAAGCGGTCTGCACTAGTACTAATAAGCAGCCTATCCATAAGCCTGAATAGGATTTTGTGAGAAGAACCTAGGAATTTTTCAGCAGTGGTTGTGTGGCTCCCCAAGGGCTGAACAGTTGGAATCTTGCAGAAGTCTGGACAGGAGTATAAGATTTATGGGATTTTAAAGAATTTTTCAAAATCACAATGGGGCAATGGGGTTACAGTGAAACCTGACCCACTCCAGAAATTATTCAGTTAATGAGCGTGAACACATTTGCTAGTATTAAAACATCAACCTAGAATGAGACGTGAGCCTAATATAAGAATCTAAGAATTGAACTGTCATGTCAGTTTTTTCAGGTTTCAGAATTGAAGAGGTGATTGTAGCCGTATTAGTGCATTTGCGACAAAAACAATTGAGTACTGTCCGTGATACTTTTTTTTATTTGCACGAACATACAATTTTGAGGACAAGCTTTCGGGGTATGTCCCCTTCTTCAAGGTCCAAGCAGTACTATACAAATCACAAAGTTTCTGCAGAATATTAGAAGGGATGAAAAAAAAAAAAAAAAAGAGGCTAGAGATAAGAGATGAAGAGAAAATTTGTAAAGCACTAGTGCCCTCCAGTGTTGCATGAAGGTGTTGCGTCATGTTGCTTTCTTTCCAGAAGCTGACTCGGTACAGCGATAAATGACTACAAGGCAGGAAATATATTTTATAAATAGAGATGTAACATCATATTTTAGTACTTAGCAGACTGTACAAAAATACCCCCTTTTTCTGGCTAATTGCCTGATCACGTTTTTCATTTTGTATAGAGTGGGGAAGGGTAAGAACTTCTATCAGGATTTTTTGCTGTGTCCCCACTGAAGAGATTTCCCCACACTTCCTGATTAGTTTCTGCAATAGGAAGTGGTCAGAATCTCTCTAACAGGAATATGGGCAGAAATAAAGGTATTTATAGGTAGAAAAGTGCTGCATGATTTTTTAAGCAGGTGAGAATAGAGTAGAATAGCAGGATTAGAACCCAGGTGCAGTTAGAAAAAACAGGGTAGGGTGCAATGGTGGGGGGCAAAACCCTAGGGGTTCATGTGTGCCTCCAGTACTTATGAGACAATGGTTTTAAATCATGGAGAACCAGATGATCCACAGGGTCACGTAAGAAGAAAAAGCTGTTGTGGTGTTGGGGCTGTGAGCGGGGCCTACTCGCCCTGATGCACTCACTAATGCCTGGGACCAGGTGGTCCATGTTCATGTGGATACAACAACATTAAGGCGCCCCCCACTGCGGGGGTGGAGGACTGCAATGCATTTACGAGCATAAAAAGGCAGGACTGCGGTCCGCCCCCCACCCACAGCCTATCATGTTCTCCTGTCTGCCTTCCTGCTAGTGCTGTGAGTGAAAGGAGAGACGCCGCCAATTTACCATCTTGCAGCTGGTCCCTGCTTGAGCCTTGCAGCCCTATCAGTCCATCCACATTGCGGTGAGCTGTACGGTATATCGCACCACCACTCTGACATCTGGAGCAGTCTACAGGTCTTTCAGATGTAAGTGAGAAATGGCATTAAAGTGTTGTTTCTAACCATACACTAATCTGGCGCCCTGCTCTGTTTCCTTTGTATGCTCGTGAGGGGTTATCCAGATCCACTGGCTAGGAACTGCTGGACAGAGCGTGTTTCTCTCATCCACCATTCCAGCCATCCATCCACCTTGTGAACTCTATGGATTATTCACTGTGGGCTTGAGTGCTGATTGTGCTTGTTAAATGTAAAGTTATGCACTTGAGGGCTAAGAATATGCATTCATCATACATACTAAGGGGGGGTACAACTGGGGGAATCAATGGTGGAGAAGGATCTGGGGGTTCTGGTAGATCACAAGCTTAATAATGGCATGCAATGCCAAGCTGCGGTTTATAAAGCGAGCAAAATCCTCTCTTGTATTAAAAGAGGTATAGACTCCAGAGAGAGAGATATCATATTACCCCGGTACAAATCATTAGTAACACCTCATCTGGGATATGCAGTTCAGTTTTTGGGCACCAATTCACAAAAAGAACATTGGGGAACTGGAGAAAGTACAGAGAAGGTCAACCAAACTGACAAGAGGCATGGAGGAGCTCAGCTATGAGGAAAGATTAGAGGAACTGAATTTATTCTCTCTTGAGAAGAGGAGATTAAGGGGGGATATGATCAACATGTATAAATACATCGGTGGTTCATATAGTGAACTTGGTGTAGAGCTATTCACCCTGAGGCCATCACAGAGGACAAGGGGGCACTCTTTACGTCTGGAGGATAAGAGATTTAATCTCCAAATATAAAAAGACTTCTTCACAGTGAGAGCTGTGAAAAAGGTAGAATAGACTCCCTCAAGAGCTGGTTCTGGCCTGCTCAGTAGATTGTTTTAAAAAAAGGCCTGGATTCTTTCCTAAATGCACATAATATAACTGGATACTAATATTTATAGGTAAAGATTCAGGGAATATCCGATTGCCTCTTGGGGGATCAGGAAGGATAATTTTTTCCCCTGCAGGAGCAAATTGGATCATGCTTTACTGGGTTTATTCTGTCTTCCTTTGGATAACTATGGGTATAGGATAGTGTATATGA